ACAATGAAAGCATCGAGAGAATATGTGTGGCTGGGATCAATGACTAATCACATCCAAGAAGCAAGTAGAATAGTCATCAATATGGAGCCAAACAAATATATGAAGATAGTGTAACATGTATTGCTCAACTCAAAAAAGACTATATCAATCGATAGAACGAATCATATACATCCAAGATTTTTCTCTTATCCAAGAGCTCGAAAAGAATCAAGAATTGGATATTCAATATATTTGCTCAAATGACAACACAACTGATCTCTTCACAAGGCTTTTAGAACTATAACATTCAAGAAATGTGTTTATAATAGTGGAATGTAATATTTTTGAGATCTGTGAAGAGATGATGATATCCCTCATTTCCAAGAAGAGTTACATTGCTGTACTCTTTTTTTTTTGTTATGGTTTTTATTCCACTGAATTTTTTTACTAAAAAAGTTTTTAACGAAGCAACACGCAGCAAATCAAATGGTGATAAATACTCAAAGAAGAGTGTTAGAAAAATGTAATTAATCATCACGTGAATCTACAAGTTTCATACTATTAAGTTATGAATCATCATGTTAAGTTATTAATCATCACTCATGTGTCTTTCATTTGATGATCACTTGTTCTCTATAATCATCACTTATGTGTTTTCATATTGTCTATAATTCTCTTTATATTTATTTATTGAAAACAATGTTATATATACATTAAAGAGTATATTTTATAACTATATTATTTCACAACATTAAGTAAATTGTACTCTTAAATATTATTTGAGAAGCATGTTTAATGAAAAAATCTGATGTGTTATCACCTTAGTAAAAGTTAGTGTAAATTAATGGTGACATGGAATTGTGACATGGAAATGTGACATGGTAAATTTCTTAAAATAAACGAAATATTTTGATTGGTTGAATCATAATTAAATAAATTATAAAATTATAACATAAATACACTAGATCATAACACTAAAAATAATAAATTTAATTTACAAAAAATAATAATTACTATGATTTCAATTTGTTTTTACATATATCTATAATAGATTGCATAAAATATGATCACGAAAATTTTACAACCAATATATATTTTGATTTTTTATATAGAAAAATAATAATGGACTATCCAATAAGATAGTATATACACTATATACTAATAATGTTAGGAGTATGATATATTATTATTTGTATATAATTTCTTTTTATATTATTGTTTTTTGGAATTTGCTTAGCTTACTTTACCATCTTATTTTATCTCTTATCAGTTTTTTAGATAAATAAAAAGGTTATATCATACTCATATACAATTTCATTGTAGATCGAGAATTTGAGATCAGAAATAAAACGCAATGTTACGGGATGAAAAAATAAATTATAAATAAGAAAAAGCAAATATGACTAAGAAGTAGAAGTAAAAATAAAAATAATCTCTACTGTTTTTTTCCGTAAATTAAAATAATATTATAAATCCAAATATTTGAACAATACATACAATATTTGAACAATACCTGAATATTTTGACAATTCTAAAAAATATACACACGCCCGAATATTTTAACAATCCCAAAAATTATAAAATAGATATTCTACCAATATCTGATCTATTGTTGATTTGATCTATTCCTGAATCTTATCAGAATTATATTCTTATTCCGGAGTTGTCGAAGGGTATGAAGGACAAACACCTGTAAGCTTTTCAAGCTTGTTGCAATGCATGAGAGATTGGATTTGAGCATATTTCTCTATTTGATCCTTTTTCATTGTCTTCATCTCCTCTCGTAATTAATCTTCAAGAGCTAAATTTGTTGATTTGTAAGAAGAAAATGTATATCTCTTATCCATTAATGTGCCAACACCAAAGCAACATCCTTTAATCTTTGGGATTTCCTAAGGATATAATATTTTGAGTGAAACACTCATAATAATTTGCCAATTTCAATTAAACATTAACAAAAATTAACTTACTTCTACGACAAGAGCATTAATCTCTGCTTGCTTGAGGGGCTCCTCATCTTTAAGTTTTAACTTTCTCTAGAACTTCATCGCATAGTAAAATTTATAAGGAAAGTTACAAATTTGTTACAAACATTTTTGTTACTATTTTTGCTATATTTTTTGAAGCTTTTTGAAACAATTTTGCAACAACTAAATTGACATCACAAATCGTAGCTAATTCAATACAAATAATTATAAATTTGTTACAAATTAACAATAATTTTATATCGTAACAAAATGTCGCAAATTGTAACAAAATACAGCTACAAATTTTGTTCTGTAACACAATTTATAGCTATCTCACATTATTCTTGTAGTGAGCTCTTACACTTTATTCTACAGAGTCATTTAAAAATTTTAAGAATTTTTTTTTATAATAAACGAATATGTGGCTCAAATTTTATAATGAACACATGCGTGCAGACCAACCATAAGAATTTTTTTTCATCAAACCAATCCCTCAATATTGGACAAAGAGATGAGTGGAGAGCTACCAGAGAATTTTATAACAAATGTTTATTATAAATTTTATTTGATATAAATAAACATTTGAATAAGAAGTAGATGTAAAAGTAAAAATGAATCTTTACGACTTTGGTTTTTTGTAAAAATCTCAGGTTATGTCTTTCGTTTAAAGCATCTTTAATCCACATTTATTTTAAATCTTCTAATTTTGAAGAAAAATAATGATGTTATTTTTTCTTCTATAATTGGAGGAAAAAATAACAATCTTTGTTTTTGCTTTAAAATAGAAATAGGTTGGAGAGAAATCCATCTATATTTTAGAGGAAAAAATAAAAAAATACATTAGAGATGATCTTATTGTTTAATATATTATTTGAGGCTAAAAAAGAAAATATGAGTCAAAGAATACAAAAAAAAGAATAGGTTTGATCGGTTTTATTTTTATTATTTTGAAAGATTTAAAAATATTATCTTACACATATTTATTCTTTCATGCATATATTGTTTCAACATTTAAAACATTATTTCATGAATCAAGTTTTGTATATATTATGATCTATTATATATAAGAATAACACATATATAAAAGTTAGGAACATAAGAACTCTTATTTTTTAATATAACAATTATATATTAAATTGATTATTTTACACATTCAATTATACATATATAAGTTTAGGATCCGGCTGATTTAAGCATTACGGTTACAGAGAGTTTATAGAAGCGAGCAATTGTGGGCTATAAAAAAATTGACGAAGAAATGAGCGGAGAGCTACCAGAGAATTTTATAAAATAAGAACTCACAAATTTTATATTAAATTTTTATTATAATTTTTATTTAGAAATCATATATCACAAAACACTGAAAAATAAGAAATTTTGATTAAATACAAAACGATAGAAACGATTTTTATGATTGTTGTTAATCGCCAAAAACTGTTTCGTGTAAAATAATAACGTTTGCGGAAAATATCAGGAAAACTAACCAACACCTAAATATTACAATTCAATTATTTATAACTCATACCTACATGCATAAATATACATATTTTTTATTTAAAAAATTCAATCATACACTATAAAAATATATATTTCAAAACATATGTTTTGTTATTTTCTTTTAACACATAAAAGCCATACTTCAATTTTTTTCACAAATATGCATATAGATATAAATATTATTTTTGCAAAAATCAAAGTTGCATACAAACTTGTCGTGCATACATTTTCTTAACCTTGACTAGAGTCCAATTTTAGTTTTAGTTATTAGTCAATTTATATTTATTAAAAAAATCTCTATATGTGACACATTCATGCCTACCAACCACCTTACCGTTCTTAGGATAAATGATAAGTAGTGATAGTAATACCCATTAAGAGTTTAAAAATCTGGGTTAATATTTTCTTATCTTCAATTTCTATTGAAATCTATAATATTATTTTATTTAATTTATTGTTATTTTTATTATTAAATAGTTATATAATGTTATTATTGATACATAATTAATCATATAAAATAAAGCATCTTCAATATATAATATTAATCATATATTTAATATATAAAATATTTTGTAGCATGCACACGGTCACGGTGCATGTCAGTTACATAGTAATAAGATAGATTATCACAATTCAACATTAAAAAACAATAATCTTCAGAATAATAGATTTGTTGTGTTGTTTAACTAAATGGTAAATTGAGATTGTATTCAATTTTATTAAAACCAGATCTGATGATAAACCGGAATATCGTATGATTGTCAAAGCAGTTTGACAAGAAAAATTTCAAGAAACAATGGTAGAAAGCAGTTCTATTTGTAATAGTATAAGCACTGTTCAAAAAATTGTTAAGGACTGAGCGGGAGGCAATCGAGCACTTAACGTCTAAAACATGAACATTAATCGAAAGTAGACAAATTTTGATTAGACGGTTTAGACATACTGATTTATAAAATAATATAAATTTAAATATTATAAATCTTAAATGTAGATTTAAAGCACATATTATGCAGAACACATATGATAGAGACTTAGATAAAACATTTGAAAATTTAATTAAGAATTATAAATGAGAATTATACAAAATATTTTTTCAATGGATATATCAAACCACTAATCGACTATGTACAGTATATGATATTTTGATAATGTAATCTTTCATTAATTACATATTCTGATCACATTACCATATCAAATCCTTTCTGATCTTGTGTTATTACATTCAAGACAACTTTCTCAAATGTTTTTGAACTACAAAAGTAAAAAAAAAATGAAATAAAATATTACGAGTTACGTTGAACGTGTACATAACGTGTTATCCTGCTGTCCGAAAAAAGAAACGTGCTATATCATTTAATACATTATTTAAAGCTTATTTAACAATATTATTTTTGCTAATAATTAATGTATTTGGGTCCATGCCAGCCTCTGCGGCGCACGTTAACCACCGCAACAGAATCAGTCGTACTGGATGAAACAATCTTTCACACCACGACGTGTACACGGAGACGGAGTTACTTGTAGTGCAAGTTTCCCTCCCTCGTGTAGTCTTTTTTTATGTGCGGCCTATAAGAGTATCGTCTTTTTCATAGAGTTGACTCAACCATCGTTTCTAAACTTTCCCTTTCTTTCCACCGGAGAAAAAACCTCGCCGGAGATTTTTGTCAGCAGAGATGTTTCCTTCATCCGATTTCTTTTTCTCACCATCGGCGCTGTTCTCAGCGTACGCATCCCTAACAGGCTTCTCGATGCTCATTAGGTCGATACTCCAAGATTTCGTGCCGGAGAAGCTACGATTGTACTTCTACGGCTTATTCGAGCGATTTTTCACTCCGAAGTCGAAGAACCTCACGGTGGTTATCGACGATAAGTTCGGAGTGAACAGGAACCAAGTGTTCGACGCGGCTGAGATGTACCTCCGCAACAAGATCGGCCCTGAAACGAAGCGTTTACGTGTGGGGAAAACCCCTAAGGAGAAGCATTTCACAATCTCGATCGAGAAAGGAGAAGAGATCACTGATTCATTCGAGAACTTTGAGGTGAAATGGATCTACGTTCACTCGGAGAGCGAGAAAGGGGATAAAGTCAAACGGTACTACGAGCTCACATTCGACAAGAAGCTGAGAGACAAAGTCATGGGTTCTTACTTAAGCCACGTTGTTGCGGAATCGGAAGAGATCAAGAGGAATCTGAGAGTGGTGAAGCTCTATAGCCAAGATGTGTACGGGAGCGACGACGAAGATGGATGTGCCGGAGGGAACTGGGGATGTATCAGACTCGAACATCCTTCGACGTTCGATACATTGGCGATGGATCCAGGAGCGAAGAAGAAGATAATCGATGACTTGGAGAGGTTTCTCAAGAGAAGAGAGTTTTACAAGAGAGTTGGTAAAGCTTGGAAACGAGGCTACTTGCTGTATGGACCTCCCGGAACTGGCAAATCGAGCTTGATAGCTGCAATGGCTAATTACCTAAAGTTCGATATTTTCGATATTGAGCTTAGTAGTATTTATGATAATGGTGACTTGAAGAGGGTTTTGTTGTCGACCACGAGTCGTTCCATTTTGGTGATTGAGGATATTGATTGCAGCACTACTGAGGTGAAAGACAGGGAAGATGAAAATCAGGAAGATGAAAAAACTAACACAAAGGTGAGATCTTTTGAATATACGATTTATTTGAGAGAGTCTACTGGTTCTTAATATGAATTTTTGTCTTGAGCAGGTGACTTTGTCAGGGATTTTGAACTTCATTGATGGGTTATGGTCGAGTTTTGGAGATGAAAGAATCTTTGTGTTCACGACTAACCACAAAGAACGGCTTGATCCTGCATTGCTACGTCCTGGAAGAATGGATATGCATATCCATATGTCTTACTGTACAGGCATAGCATTTAGGACATTGGTCTCTAACTATCTTGGTCTAGATGGCTTGAACCATCCTCTTTGTGAGGAAATCGAGAGGCTGATTGATTCTACAGAGGTTACTCCTGCTGAGTTAGCTGAAGAGTTGATGCAGGACGATGATACTGATGTTGTTCTTCGTGGAGTAGTTAGCTTTGTTGAGAAGAGGAAGCTTGAGAGAAGCAAAGCCGAGGATGAGGTTTCTATTTGTAAAGAAGTTGTGATTAAGGCAAATGATGATGACGAAAAACAGAGTGGTTCTGTGAATTGCATGAACAAGAAGAATGAGTAATCGAAAGGGAAAAGAGCAAGAAAAGGCCATAGCTTATTTCAGTAATAAGTAAATGTCAAATGTGACTATCCGTGCAATGCCATGAAAACATCACTATTTAAAAAAAATTAATAAAGTTTTCCTTACATCATATGTTCTTAAGATTGTATTAGAAAGAAGTTTAACTAATACTCATTACTCCCTCTAAAAATTGTTATTTTAGAGTTTTGTTTTTGTTTCATAAAAAGTGTCGTTTTGTATTTCGAATACAAATTTTTAAACAAATATTCAATTTTAATTTTGTTATATTAATTTATTAATTAGAAAAAAAATTTGTTTGGTGTTATAAATGATAGAAGAAATTTTTTATTAAGTATTTTTAATTTGTGTGAAAAATGTCAAAATGACATTCTTTATAAAACAGAAAGATTATTATTTAAAAGGTTAATAAAGTTTTCATTTACACATTCATTTATATATTGTATTAATATTCTTCCTCAAGATGCAGTGAAAATAGTAAAAACTTATACTTTATTGATTACAACGCAGAATCGGATAGAATATTGATTACAACGCAGAATTGGATAGAATATTGATAAATAACATCCACAACTTGGAACTCGCATCTAAATTTGAATCTAGTTCTTTGGTTTTATTAATTTTATTAGAATGTTTTTTGGTTTCTGGTAATAATGAAACCAAAGAACTACACATTACAATGTGGATAAAATGGCTTGCAATAGTACATGTTCAGTATATAGAAGATTTTCATGGATTTATGAGTGAATTAGAATATTAATACTTATGTGAGGGTCTTGTTATCCACCACGAGTCGTTGGATTTTGGTGATCGAGGATATCAACTGCAATGCTAAGGATGAAGAAACCGAAGAAGCTAAGAGAACTGTGAGATTTTTACTTACTATGATTTTGTTATAATTTGGGAATTTTGGTCTTTGACTTGAAAGAATTCTAGTGTAATTGATGCGGATATCAAACCTGAAGTAGTAATTCTAACAATGGGGTTTTCACCAAGGACAAAAGCTAGTACAAAAAGACTTCAAGAAGAGTATAATCAAGCTGTGGAGAGTCTAATAAGCCAACAAGCACTTGAAGAAATAACAGACCAACTTGACAAGCTTGCCATCACTTCAACGGACACTTCACAGGAGACACTTGAAGACCACATCACTCAAGTTCATGAGACACACCAGCAGGACGGTCCATACATCAAATTCAACTCACATGAAGAAGTTTAGCCGGTTATATCATCCAACCAAGGAACCACCTTGTTTTCCATCAAACCGAGCTGAATCAAAGCAAAAGAGAGATCAAACCGAATTTCCAAATGTACCAATCTGCCCACAGCAAACCAAGGTAAGTTTCTGAATCATTTATATCATATTTTGACTAATCCTTATGTTTATGTTTGTTTGATCTCAACAGCTAAATCCCTTAAAATTAGCTATCTTTTATTTATGAACTTTTGTATTTCTTGCTTTGATTTTCCTTTGATTTTGCATTTTTGATTCTTGCATTAATTATTGTAATAAATTGGCCAAGGAAGCCCTCAGCTGCTTGAACCATATATAAGGATTCAGCTATGTATTTTTTACACTTGATTAATAAGAAAAAACCCTTTTTGTTGTTCTTTCAGAATTGCAAACAAAAACCAGAGTTTTTTGAGATTGTGTGAGAAGCTTTTCTCTTGAGTTCTTGAATTATCTCTGCTTATTCCATAAAGCTGAGTGGCGTCCCTCATTTCATCATCCTTCCATTCCATCCACTGATCAACCTGAAAGAGACCTTAGTCCAGCAGATTGATTCCATCACCATCCACTTCGATCATCCTTTGAACAAGTAGAAAGAGACCTTAGTCCAGCTGCTTTGTTTCCATCCATTCACCTATCAATTATAAGATCATACCCCCTTGATCTTATATCAGTAATTATCTTGGTCTAGATGGCTTGAACCATCCTCTGTGTGAGGAAATCGAGAGGCTGATTGATTCTATAGAGGTTACTTCGGTTGAGTTAGCTGAAGAGCTGATGCAGGACGATGATACAAATGTTGTTCTTCGTGGAGTAGTTAGCTTTGTTGAGAAGAGTAACCTCTACATAATAAGTTATTTAAGAACCCATCAAAATGACAAATAAATTACCAAATGCTTCATAAATACATAAAAGCTCTAACTAACTGGCCATGAAATTAGCAATAGGAATGCATAGGAAAAGAAATAAAGATAATAAAACAAATGGAATTTTTATTACTTCTCAGTTTTGTTAGGGAATATTTTAACACTATAGTTTCTTAAAACATTAGGAATGAAAAGGAATTATGGATACAATATATTCTTTTTAAATGGTGTAATTTTTAAGAAATATTAAAAAATATATTTCTTTTCATTTCTTTAGTCACCATTTAGAATCAATGAATAACAAAATCATAAATACACGCTGCTATTGCTCCATGATTGAAAATTCAAAAGAACAAATCGATGGAAACAAAGCAAATGAATCCAAGGTTCAATTGAAAAGAGGGAGACCAATGAGTTGAAAAGATATAAATTCTCGAAAGAAAAATAAGTTGGGAGAAACAAATAGAAATGAGAAATGTCGAGAAAATATTCGTGTGAAGAAGTTCAAAAAGAATTTGATGAAGAAAAATGTCCAAAAGATGAATATTATACACAAAATTAGTGAGATTTCCATAAATTACTCTCAAAATAGAAACATTTGAGTTAGAAATAAAATAGAAAATAATAAGAGAAAGTTATTCTGATATCATACAAATTATTACTATCATATTTCGCTTATATTTGCTATATCCTTCCTTTTTATATGTTATAAAAAAAATATAATTACAAGGAATGCCATTATTTTTTAATTCCACATCAGAAAAAACGCGTCGCCACGTCAGAAATCGTTGACGTTTATTAATGAACTCAGCCGTAAAGCGCTACAGCGACAATGACGGCTGAGTTATGGTATGTTGCTGCTGATTTAAGGAAAATGGCTGGGTTATAAGCCAACGACTAACTTACGTGTATAACCCAACCTGGTGTTTTGACTGACTTAATGAAATATGTCTGAGTTATGAGAAAACGGTACGAGCATAACCCAACCATAAGTTACGGCTGAGTTATAGCCCGATGGTTGATTTGTCAAAATTTGGCTGAGTTATTGTTTTGACAAGGCTGAATTAACTTTCTCCGGCTGGCTGAGTTATTGCTTCGTTACGGCTGATTTTCGTGTAAGTGTCATAAATCAGCCGTAATGAGCTGGGTTAACGAAAAACTCGGCCTAATAACGGCTTATTTAGTAGTGAAAGGTTAATTACTACAATAGCATGCTTTGACGGCTGACTTATTAAACGATACGGCTGAGCTAAAGATTTTTTTTTTTTAATAACTGTAATAGTATTCATGTTACGACTAACTTAAAGTTTTGTTTGATGGCTGCTATAAGACAGTTGATTTACGAGTTCGTTTGGTGGCTTACTTGCCACTTCATCAATTAAAAAATGATGTCGGATGCATATTTCCATGTCATCATCAACAGAGAAATATGAAACATTAAACATTGTCTTCGTATTCCTCGTCGTTGTCAACGTCTTTCTCGTTGTTTTTGTTCTTCACCTTGTTCTTCACATTAACAGAGATATCCAGAACTTAAATTTTAAACATCCAATACGTCATCGTCTTCCTCGTTCTTCTTTATTTTCATTCATCCTTCTCTAATATATGATGGATCCGATTTTGGTAATTGTAGTTTCTGGTAATTGGGTAAAGAAACATAAATATGTATTTAACACCGACGATAGAGGATGTAGAGTTGTGCAGATAGATGCGAAAACAACGCACGACAAGCTTGTAAAGTTGGTTCTCGATGACTATGGATTGAAGGAGTTGAGCCATCATGTAAAGCTGAGCAACATGTTCTCGAACAAGGCCATGAAAAATATGTCGCATGATACTCCACCAGTTTATGTCTCCAATGATTGACAGTTGCAATATTTTCTGAGCCTATGGAAAATTGATCAGCTACGACTTTGTGTGGAGTTTACAGAGAAAGAGTTTAGCAAAATTAGTTGGAAGGATGGATCGAGGGGAATGATGAAACGGCCAATCATTTCTGACTCAAAAGTAGAATCTAGATACGAAGATTACGGTGGGGGATTTGATGGTTACTGTTATGATTATAGTAAAAACCAAGATGAAGAAGACGATGAAGACGATGAAGATGTCGAAGAAGCAAATGACGAAGAAGAAGAAGATGAATTTTCAAGCCGATTTGATGTTTAGACGACTCTGATGGTGCGTCATCTGATGATGACAACTTTACTGTATACAGCGAGCCTCAGAATAAAGATGAAGATTCACCGACCCTGCCTCCTAAGAAGAGACCTCAGAACATTGAAATGACTGGATCGATTGGGAACTCGGAGGCTTTAAGGTTGGAGATGTCTTTGCTAAACCTCGCTGTAGGACAACGATACAGGAGCAAAGACGAGTTGGAGAAATGATTGAAACTTCTTTTGGTAAGGGATGGATTTGATTTTGATGTAACAATATCAAATCCGAGTACAGTGATTATTAAGTTTTGGGTGGATGGATGTCGTTGGAGAGTTCGTGCATCTAAACAAGGGGATGAGCCGCATTTTATGTTTGTATATACGATTCGGAACACACATTTTCTGTGACGGAACGTTCTAATCGATCCCGACAAGCAACACCTGATATTTTGGGATCTCTTTACAGGGACTTTCTTTGTGACGTTGGTCCGTCCGTTAAATCTCGCAGTGTCGAAATAATTATCAATAAGCATTTTAGTATAAATGTAGTAGATTATTTGTGGCTTCATCCTGAACTACATGGATACCTCCAAAGAGCTGGTGTCCGAATGTGGGCGCGTGTTTATTTCCCGGGTGAACGGTATAATTTAATGACTACGAATATTGCGGAATCAATGAACAAAGCACTGTCAAATGCTAGAAGTCTTCCCATAGTTCGACTGTTAGAATCGATACGGACTATGATGACCAGATGGTTTGCTGAACGGAGAGAGGATGCGAAATCGCAGCTAACAACGCTCTCACGATGTGTTGAAAAACTGTTACAGGTAACTCAGCTGTAATCGTTTACATAAGTCAGTCGTCAAATGCTCATAAACCAGACATTATATTCATAAATCAGCCTTAACGTTTTTTTTTGTTTTTCTCTCTAATAGTCCCGTGTCACCGTAGCAAGACTTATGGATGTACAAACGATTGATGCTTTACGTGTACA